AAAGAAAAAGAAGTCGAAACAAGCAAAGAGGAACTCAAAAAGAATAAGGAAATGCTGGGTACTTATGAAAAAGCAGGAAAACAACTGCAAGAAGACTTAAAAAATACGGAAAAAGAAAAAGGTGCTTTAACTACCAAAACTAAAGAACTGGATAGCGAATTAGATGCTGTCAAAAACAGTTTAAAAACCACTGAGGAACAAAAGAACAAATTATCCACTCAAATTCAAAATTTAAACCAACAAATAACTAATTGAAAAGACCAAGCTGAAGCTTGAGAACTCCAAAAAGAGGATATCGGTCAGCAAATTAATCAGAAGAACCAAACAATAACTGATTTGCAGCACGAAGTTGACTTACTTCAAGCTGAAGTCAATAATTACCAAGAAAAAGCTATTGAAGTAGCCGAAAGATTAAAGAAAAACCGCACTTTGGTTAGTCCGGAAAAAGCTAGTCTAGAGGAATTACGTAAAGAATGTTCCGAATTGCAAAAAGAACGTCAAAGTCACTTAGTTTGAATTGGAGCCTTACAAGTTGAAATTAAGAACAAAACCCAAAGACTTAATACTCTAAAAACAGATGCGGAAGCTTTAAAACAAGAAGCGGCTAATTTAGGAAAAATATTGTGCAATAAAAGAACTGAAATCCTCAAGTTAGTTAAAAAACTAAATAAGTTAGAAAATGATATGACTAATCTTGAACAAGAATTAAGGGAGGAGAAAGAAAAAGTGCAACAACTAGAAAGTGAAAAACAGCAATTAGAGGAATGACTACAGCAGGCTCGCGAAGAAAGGGAAGATGTGAGAAGCCAGTTAACAAAACAACTAGTTGCTCGTGATAATCTTTTGATTGAAAAAGAAAAAGAGATTGCTTTGCAAAAAACAGAATTAGGAGAAAAACGCATAGAATTACAAGGAAAAGAAACGCAACTCAACGAAAAAGATGGAATAATTGCAGAAAGAGACAAAATTATAGAATGGTGAGATACCAAAGATAAACAAAATGTAGAAACAATTAAAAATCTGGGAACTGAAGTAAGACAACTAGAAAGTGAAAATACTGAATTAAAATTCAACAACGATCAGCTAAATGCAGATAATCACAGATTAACTACCGAGTTACGCGAAAAAACTGAAGAACTTCGTAATGCCATTAGGGCAAAAAAGAATAGGTAATTTGTTTGCGGCCGGAGTATGAGCTAGCGACTATTTACCTTTGCCCGAAAAATGACGAAGTGGCATCAAGAGTGGATTTAATGCGGGTCAAGCCTGACTCATTGCTTCGGATATACCTAATGCCACTTACGAAATTATTGTTGGTTTCGCAGCCATTCTGGTTTGGTACGGGATAAAAGCTATTTGGTATCGTATTTTTGGTCGCAAGGAAATCAATAAGCTTCAAGAACTCCGGGAAGAACTCAAAGAAGTTCGGGGCAAACTTTTGCAAACTCAGTTAGCTGCCGTGATTAAGGAAAAAGAAAGCAAACCTGCTTCCAAAAATCTCCCGCAATCACCTTCTAGCGAATAATTAACTATGACTTGAAATTATTGCTGTAAAAAATATGGTTCATTGCGAATGTCAGCGAACCGAGGCGGAGAAATGTTCCCACCGCAATCCCCAAGGCCAATGCCCGCAATGCAATCTGGCCCAAAGTTTTGGTTATCAGCCCACTTCCCCAAGAAGATATCTTGGCAAAGGCTAGAGAATTTTTAAACCAAGAACTGGAAGTAGAAAGTTGTTCAACTCCCTAAGGAAAAATGAGATTGGATAGATTTAAATTCCAGGATGGTTGGTATTGGCTTATGTTTTTTCTCATGTGTTCGCTTAAGAAAACATTTTTTGTAAAAGAGAGAGAAAATAATTTTTGGATAAAAGATCTCTAATATAAATCGCTGACAAAGTTTTTCATACAGTCAATGCTACAAATATAATTATTTTGTCAACTCTCTCGAGTTTTAATTCTACAAATTAAACATGGCGACTGTTTTTTT